CCTTCACAATTAACACGGAAATTATCTGGATCATTTGCATTGTTGTAGAATACCTCTCATATGCAAACTATTGCACTTTTATACGGGTACTCTATGAAAAGACTTAGCACAACCGAGCCCATTTTTTTTGTTTTTAACTAAGCCATCTGTTGAATTGTTCAAGCCTTTTATTAACAAAACATTAGCAAGTGGGGCTCTAAACAAACAAAGTTTGGCTACACTTCAGTTACATTTGCTCTGAAGACAGTCAATTCATGTCATTTCACCTTATATGTATATCCAAGTATCTCCATATTTTCTTTATTCCGCTTCACTGTTTCATCAGATGTATGCAATTCACTTGATCACTAGCAAGCCAGTCAAAGACATCCACAACCAGTATAATTTGCACGCCATACTTGGATAGATGATCATGCGATACTACCAAAAATACTTGTGTGATAGTCTCTTGATGTGTATGGCAGGTAAAGTTAAAAGATCTTGTAATTATAAGCAAAGGTAACATATGCCTCATGACGAGTTTAAAGTGGACCTATACTTAAAATCTAAAGTTTTGCTGTCTACCAAGAAGGGTTCAGTAGCACAATTTAATGGGACAAGGTAATGAATACAAAACATGTAACTTTAGCAACCAATTTCTAATTGGAAGCAGCAAAGCACCTCATGTGACTGTGCCTTGGGGCACTTTGTTCTTCTAGCCCCTCAGGAGTTTGACATCCTTAAAAGCATATAGTAGTCCACCCAGGGCCGGAATTACTCTCTCTGCTGCCCCAATACCAGGTTCCTCAATGGACCACCCTATATGCAGGATGCATACAAGTGATCTCGGCAACATCGCTGAGATCACTTGTACAAAACAAGCGGCGGCTTCCCTGCTGTACATTTAGCCCTGCTTGCCCAAAGCAGGGCTAATTGTAGAAAGCAACTAACCGCCCGGCGCCCTTAACTTCATGTTCTGGGTGTCAGGAGATAGGAATTCCGCACCCCTGCTGCCCCTCTACTCCCTGCTGCCCCGAGGCCGGGCCTTGTAGGAAATCCGTCCACCCAGTACTGGCTCTAATCACATGATTACACTAATGATATTATCACGGGTAGCTCTAGGAACAGGAAGAGCTGGCATCTGCACTCATGCAGCAGCTGCCTTGCGATCATTCAGTACTGTGTGTGGAAGCAAAACAAGAGCAGTGATACATTTTAGAGCCAGATTTTCTTTATGATTGCACGTTGATTCTTAAATTTCCATCTCTGCTCTGCCAATGTAAAGACAAAAGCCCCCACAGTCTGACCCCACAGTCTGCCGGATCTCAAGGGGGCTTTGCAGGATCTGTGGGGGGTTTTGCAGGCTGCAAAGCCCCCACAGATCGCCGCTCGACTGGCCCCTTGGCGACGCCTCCTCCATCGCGGTCTCTGCCTTTGCCGCTCCGTCCCCGTCTCCTCACGTCCTCTCATCTCCGCCTCGATCTCACTCTGTTTCCGGCCGTCTCATGCCGCTCAGTCCCCCGGCCCCTCCCATCCTCTCAAATCTCCGCCCCCATCTCCCTCTGTCTCCACCCCCTGCCGCTCAGTCCCCCTTCTCCTCCTGCTCGCTCGACGGCCGATTTCTCCACCTCGGCTGCCTTAATGTTTTGTGGCCGGAACCTGGGCTCGCGTGCCAGCAGAAAGGGCCTCACGTGCCATAGGTTCGCCACCACTGGCTTATAGTGTTCCAACTTTCTCCTTTGCTTTGCCATGGTTTAGACAAAATAGGTCCTGAGGATACACTAAAGAGATTATGTTAAAGGAGAACTATGGGGTTAGAGCTTTTCCCCATAGTTCTCCTAAGGGTAACGGGAGGACACAAACTAGCGTCCTCCCGTCACTCAAAGCTCAGTATACCGACAATTAATTCTGGATCCACCCAGCTGCGTGAGTGACAGCTGGCTCTTACTATCTAGAGGAAGAGCCAGCTGTACCCGCCCCCTCCCCCGTCCGTTTCGCCAGTCAGCGCTGGCGGATCGGAGCGGGGAATCCAGCCCCTCCCCAGTCACGGCTCTCTGCAGTGACAGGATCGAGAGGTGAGCGAATGCCGATATGTGTTCGCTCACTTCCCGATCTACTGAGCCGACCTTATACAGTTTCATTGTCACAGGTCGGCTGGAAACTATGAGGATGAGTGAAAATCACTCACCTCATAGTTCTCCTTTAAGTAAAAAAAATAAGCCCCCTTGTTGGTGTCAGTGGCAGCAATAAACCCCCCTGCATTTGTCAGGGCCAGCAATGATAAAGCCCAGCAATAACCCCCATTGAGTGCCAGGGCCATTAATGACAAACCTCGCCAATAAGCTAAATCGCAAATCTCCCCTTTCTCCTCTGTCCAAGCACAATCCCCCCCCCCCCAAAAAAAGCACAAATTTCTCCAGTACAATCATGCCCACCAGTCACAAATATCCCTCCAGGACTAATCCAATACTTCCCAAAATAAAACTACAAACCTCCCTCCAACACGATATACATACAGGTGAAACTCAAATAATTAGAATATCGTGCAAAGTTCATTTATTTCACTAATGCAACTTAAAAGGTGAAACTAATATATGAGATGGACTCATTACATGCAAAGCAAGATAGTTCAAGCCGTGATTTGTCATAATTGTGATGATTATGGCTTACAGCTCATGAAAACCCCAAGAACCCCAAATCCACAACCTCAAAAAAGTAGATTATTACATGCAATCAATAAAACAAGGATTGTACATAGAGCAATATCGGACCTCTGAAAAGTACAAGCATGCATATGTACTCAGTACTTGGTTTGGGCCCCTTTTGCAGCACTTACTGCTATTACTTTTGCACGATATTCTAATTATTCGAGTTTCACCTGTATAGCACTCCATCTGAAATTTCCCCTCCTCAATAGACAACTCTCCCAGGAGGACCTCTCAAACCTGAGATACTGAGTAGCACCCTGTGAGCAGTGAGAGGAAGTCCTAGGCACCCCTCGAATGTGTCATTTGTTGACGCCAAGGAGGAGGCTAGATGCTTTTCCATCCTCTGAGCTGTATCTAAGGTCTGAATTTTGCAGCTGACAAAACCAACAGCATTACAAGAGCACCTGCATACGATCACACTGCGGGCGTCTCTGCTCTGAGGGGAAAGTTGGACCCCTTATCCCCCCACCTCATATATACATCCCAGCTATAGTTTTGTTCTTGTGTCAGTGTTGTTCTGAATGTCCCATTCTGCCTCCAACTAATTTAGAGCCTGTGTTGATGTTCAATGGTCTTGTGTCTATGACAGGGGTAGGCAAACTCAGGCCTTCCAGCTCTGGTAAAACTACAAATCCCGTCATGCATCTGCCTCTAGGAGTCATGTCTGTGGCTGTTAAGAGTCTTGCAATGCCAAATGGGATTTGTAGTTGCAGCATAGCTGGAGGAACAGTGTTTGCCTACCCCTGGTCTATGGCATCAGTTTAGGATGCTTTTGAGATCATTCAAAATTCATTGGCAGGTGTATTTAGCCTGCAGTTGACCTCCTTCTGACCTGTATTGAACAGATATTGTATTTTCATAGACTTGTACGAGAATGTTTTCTGGCGCAAACAGGGGCGTAACTAGAAATCACAGGGTCCCATAGCAAAATTATATATGGGTCCATGTGATTTCTAGTTACACCCCTTGCAGAGCCCACTTGAGATCCCACACAGCTCACCTGAGGGTGACCCTGCAGAGCCCACCATAGGCTCTCTATGGTGGGCTCTGCAGGGTCTCAGGTGGGCTGGTCACACTCACCTGTCCGCCTCCAATTCCTCCACGGTCACTGATGGGCCCTGCTTCCTCTTCCATCACCGTACCCACCTCCTCAGTCGCCAGGCCCGCCTCCTCCTTTGCTGCTGACCCCCACCACCACTGCCGGGTCCAGCCTCCTCCACCACCACTGCTGGCTCTCACTGACTCCGCAGCGGCTGTGGAGAGGAACGCACTCAAATACACTCAGCATTGTAAGCACATTGCCATTTCTTCTGAGGTATCTTATGATAACATTCATCACGTTCCTCGTGACAGCCAGCAGCATGAGATGCCACAGCGATCCAATAGCCCCGGTTACATTTCTCAGCACAACACAAAGGACACCATGCATTGGTATGCAGTGCATATGCATTTTGAAGGTGCATTGGGGTACCATTCAAAATGAATGGCAACAATGCATTGCTATGCACTGTGGTGGGAATGAGCCCTGAGAAATATTTCCAAGCATTTAATATACTGTAGCTAGGAGGTATTTTCCTTTATTATGATTTGGGGATTGTGAAATTGTACTTTGAATCTTTACCCACCTCCTTCTGTGAGCATATGAACAGTTACTGAGTAGTATGGTGGCATATGCCACAATGTGAAAGGTCATTAGTCAAAAGTGTGTTGCATGTTATGTATAAGCATACGTTTTACTGAATAAAGTATGTAGAATAATCACACAGAGATATGCAGTCACAGAAATGCTATTTTTATTCATGGAATATTATTCTGACCTTGATGCTTTTCTCCCTTTCAACTAGTCCCTCCCCTAACACACAGAAATCAGCAGAGGAAAATCTTTATCAAACACTGTGCAGCAAACTTTTACATTTGTATGAAAAAAAATAATCACACAAGCACAGCACTGTGTGCAGTTACTATTCATAATGTTAAGAAAAAAATGAATAAAAACACACATACTCCACTTATTGCTATTAACGCGTTTAAGGAACCTCTTGCTGTATAAAGACCTACTTGAAAACCTATACTGTTGCAGCAAATGTTACCTTTTTGCTGCTATGGGGGAAGAAAGGGCGGGAGGAGTGAAAGGGATCTGGAGAGGACTAAGGGAATGGTTACACGTGATATTTAATGTCCATAAAACCCTATAATACTGGATACCCATGCTACTCATCATACAAGGTCACCCAGTAACCTGTCTAGCAGGTCTACTGCAGAGGTAATGTTCAACTGTGGGCATTTTATTTTTCTCAATACAAGCAGTGTGACCAAAAATCGCACGTGCAGCCATTTCCTTACACTGTGAGCCTCTTGATGTGGAATAATAGGGTCAGAATATGGAATGTGAAAGTTACTACTTTTTCCAGGAGGGTTTTTTTTAAGCGCTGTAGGGGTATTTAAGCAGTAAAGCTTCGCCTGGCACTAGCTTCAGGTTCTTTAGAGAGATACTGCTACCCTCCTTCCTCTCTGAGTTTGAGCTCAGCACTACCGTACACTGTTCTGGCAGGTTTTCGCGTGCTATTGTTACAGTTGTCTCCTCATCTGGGTCAAAGTTTAATACGGACACAAATCTTTCATTCTGGTCCCAACTGCGCTCATATGCTAGTGATTTGTCATTCTGAAGATGTAGTGTGAAATCTCCATGCAGAAGTGATCGCTCTTTTCCACGCAGCTCACTCAAACGTTTGTACACATTGAGTATTGAATCCTTGTCGTCCTCTTGTGCCTAAAAACAAAGTGAATAGTCAGCTTTTCTATTCAAAGTGACCAGAAGTGATGAGTAGCCTGAATTCTGTAGCACAAATGATAGCTAAAGATGTATAAACATTTCTGGATCCTATCAGACTGAGGGATATCATTTTAAGCTAAAAGTAAGCAAGGCTAAAGTTTACTGTGAACAGCAGGCTTCTTGTCATGTGACTGTTTGACTAATACCGCAAGTGGCCTCAACTAATCCTCTTTGTAATCTAATTTAGCTGAAATCAGCTAAAAATGTCAGAAATCTCTCATATTCTGGTATAGGTAATTAAAATATAATCCTGCATATTTTCTAAAGCAAATTCATAAAAGGCGGCCTTTTTAGCCTGAGCTGATCAACAAAAACTATCAAGATATTAAAAAGGTCGTTTTACAGGTCAGAAATGTTAACGCAGCTGTAGAGGTTTTAGTTGAGAAATGTTTTTCTGTTTGGCCAAAACTTGGTTGCTAAGCAGGGCAAAGGTTGTATCCAAGAGCTTGCTGACACCGGATTATCTGAACAATGAAATCTGCTGAGTCAAGAGGAAGAAAGGCCCGCTGCCAGGAATGTAAAGGCAGCAGTGATAAAACTGGCTGCCTAGAGGACTTTAGTATAGGGGCAGGGGGCACTGATTGTACAAGAAAAAAGACATTATAGAAGATAAGTTAATTGCTGGGTATAAAGTTCAGTTGTTGCAATATCACATACTCACAGTAACGATACTAGACTAGCTCATGGAAAACATCGATCAAGCGTGTGCTTTTTAGGATTCTTACAGGGGATTGAACCAGAAAACATTTTAAATGGATATGTAGTTTTTTTAAATGCATGTCTAAAAGGCAACCAAGGCAAGAACAATGCACTTGTCATTAATGTTTTCTAATGAATGATGGACTAATTGTATGCAAATACACTCAGCATTGTAAGCACATTGACATTTCTTCTGAGGTATCTTATGATAACATTCTTTTAAGTGTCTTATCATAACTTATTGTGTAATGATTACACCTTTAAACCAAAAGGATTCCATTCAACATAGATATAGCAAAGCTATATTTGAACCGACCTCCTCCTCCCGCAGGGGAGAAACAATATAGAGACTGAGCACAGTTTTTTAAGCTGTCTGATCGCTATTACTCCAGCCTGCGGGATTGGCAGGCGTCCTATAGGCACTAGATATTTGTTTGGGGAGATTGGGAGATTGGGAGACTGGCAACTTATGCCTATGGGCACGTTTAGGCCCCCAATGGACAGGAGATAACCATTCCCCAGTATGGCCAGTTACAGTTCAATAAAAAAAAACTAGAACATATCTGTAGGCTTTGCACGCCCCTGCACACACCCTCCGGTGGACCAGGCCTTGAAGGACAACCCATTGTTTAAGGTTTAAGCCTGCCTAAATATGTATTCCCCCACCGATGCCAACACCAGTTTATATGCCTTGAATTACCGTATATACTCGAGTATAAGCCGTCCCGAATATAAGCCGAGGTACCTAATTTTAGCCAAAAAAACTGGGAAAAAGTATTGACCCGAATATAAGCCGAGGGTGGGAAATGAGGCAGCTACTGGTAGATAGATACCATTAAAATACATTAATATTTATTTAAAAGAAAAATAACCTAGCTCTGTAAGTGGAAAAGGGGGTACAGGGCTACATATCATGTACTACGGATCATTTAACCCATTCATATTAGCAGAGGATAATTGTAAATCTATTGTTCAGTGCACTCTATATGTAGTATATAGTACATGTACATATAGAGTGCCTGCAACAATACATTTACAATGATCCTCTGCTAACATGAATGGGTTAAATGATCCATAGTACAGGGCTACATACAGATCATTTAATACATTCATGTTAGTATAATTGTAAATGTATTGTCTGCACTGTATTAGCAGTATATACTCTATATAGAGTATATACTGCTAATACAGTGCAGACAATACATTTACAATTATACTAACATGAATGTATTAAATGATCTGTATGTAGCCCTGTACTATGGATCATTTAACCCATTCATGTTAGCAGAGGATCATTGTAAATGTATTGTTGCAGGCACTCTATATGTACATGTACTATATACTACATATAGAGTGCACTGAACAATAGATTTACAATTATCCTCTGCTAATATGAATGGGTTAAATGATCCGTAGTACATGATATGTAGCCCTGTACCCCCTTTTCCACTTACAGAGCTAGGTTATTTTTCTTTTAAATAAATATTAATGTATTTTAATGGTATCTATCTACCAGTAGCTGCCTCATTTCCCACCCTCGGCTTATATTCGGGTCAATACTTTTTCCCAGTTTTTTTGGCTAAAATTAGGTACCTCGGCTTATATTCGGGACGGCTTATACTCGAGTATATACGGTATACAGCAATTCTCACCTTAAATGTGATGTTCTCATTGCCATTATAGTGCCTTTCTGGTGATCCTTTAGAAAATCCATGGTTTTTGCTGTCATCCCACTGCATGTAAGGAGAGCTGGATGCAGGCTGATGGGGAGAAGATATCAGAGATGGAGTACGCTTTGATTATTTACACACATTACCATCTTAGGATACATTCCTACATGAACACAAATTAATCTGTCTTATAGCAGAGTTCCTAGAATACTGATGGACAAGATATGGCCTGCTTTCTGCTGTTTGTCTTTAAAAAGGAATAGTATGTATAAAACAGAAATATACTAATAAAGGTCACAAGTGATTGTGCAAAAATGACTTACTTTTCCAGGCAAGTCTTTGAGCCCGATTTCATCCCCATACAAAGTAAAAGGTGTGCCCTGAAGAGTGAAAAGCAGCAGCTGATAAACACGCAGCAGCTTCTCTTGAACCGCAGAGGCCATGTGTCCCAACTGTGGTCTGACCTGTGGGGAAGGATATTACAAATGATTTGTTCAATATCATGAATAGGTAATTTGCAGTAATCAATATGCTGGATTGATAATATGCTAGCAAAGATGAAGAACCTTACCAGCAGACCAGAAGGTCCATAATACCATAACAGACTTCTGATCATTTATAAAACAACACACCCCTAGAAGACCCCTTTATCCTCTATCACACAAATCAACTTACTGCATGTCAGAAACTATCCATAGCTTGTGAACCATGGTACCCAAGAAACGCGTAATTGCTACAACACCAGAGGTCTGTGGTGATTATTATCTCTAAACAGATTTCCAAATTGTTGCATCACTTCAATTTTTTTATACATAAAAACTGACTTGTGTGGGTCATTTAGGGGCACACAAGTTCATTTGAATAGGTCCTTCATTTGTTTCTTCACCCAATATGCACGTATACAATATTTAAGGTGGCATTCCAGTACATATTACATTAAGAAAGTGAAGATCAATTTTGTTATTATAAATTAAAGTCCTATATTTCTTCTATATAAGAAAAGCAGAATGAACTATTACACCTAAAAAAAAAAATGTACGGTAGTGTAATCATGTGAAACAAGCATAGTGCTTATCAGACCGCATTAGAAAAAAAAATCTGTTATTACATTGACCTGCTGGATTATTATTATTATACGGGATTTATATAGCACAAACAGGTTGCGCAGTACTTTACAATATAAGACATTACAAATCAAAATACAATTCAAGACAAGATGGTAAGGAGGGCCCTGCCCGTGAGGGCTTACAATCCAAAAGGGAGGGGCAAGTGATACATGAGGGGATGATTGTTTGAGAAAGTGATTGTTCAATGGTTAGGTTGAGGTGGGATAGGCTTCCCTGAAGAGATGAGTCTTAAGGGATCGCCTAAAGGCAGTCAGTGTGGGAGATAGACGGACAGGTTGGGGTAGAGAGTTCCATAGGATGGGAGAGACTCTAGAGAAGTCATGGAGGCGAGCATGGGAGGAGTTGAGAGAGCTGGAAAGCAGGAGGTCTTTTGAAGAGCATAGGGGACGGTTAGGGAGATACTTTGAGACCAGGTTTGAGATATAGCCGGGGGCAGAGTTGTGGATGGCTTTGTAAGTGGTTAATATTTTGAATTTGATCCTTTGGGCTATTGGATGCCAGTGCAGGGATTGGCAGAGAGGCGTTGCAGACACTGAGCGGTTGGTTAGGTGAATGAGTCTGGCAGCTGCATTCATGATAGACTGAAGAGGGGATAGCCTGTGCAGAGGTAGGCCAATGAGGGAGTTGCAATAGTCAAGATGAGATATAACAAGGGAGTGGATGAGTAATTTTGCGGTTTCCTTGGTGAGGAAGGGGCGTATTTTGGAGACGTTACGAAGGTGAAGGCGGCAGGATTTGGATAGTGATTGGATGTGGGGAAGAAAGGTGAGGTCCGAGTCAAGGATGACACCTAGGACCTTAGCATGGGGGGAGGGATGGATAGTTGTATTGTACATTACACAGCACCAGATGACAAGACTTAGGATAAACTTGGATTATTTTCTTGTGTGCTACAACCGCTTTGTTGTGTGCAAGAACACTAGTTTTCTCCTACTGTAACAAATGCCATTTTGATAGCTTTAGTGTATATAAAAATGCACCCATGGAGTCTCCCCAACAATGTTACTACAGCTGCCCTTACCGCCCAGAAGATCCTGTCCTGGTCACTGGAAACCTGTTGGTACTGCTTGATGCGTTCTCCTAGAGAGCCGTCACTCGAGTTATCCTTGTGGATCAGGTAACGTGCAGTTAACATGCCTGTGGCAGTGTCATTAAGGATTGTTAGAACTTTGTCACTGTGAGGGTCAGTAGCTGAGGCAAGAAGCACCCTGTTAAGACAAATCATAAAACATTATGATAATACCGATATCTTAAGAAAAATAAAGCAAAAACAAGCAAGGTATGGTCAGACTAAGGCTGCCCCGAGCACAGGAAGGAATAGATCTGATATTCACCTTGCGTTGCCATCTGAGCTGTGGTTGGCAGTGATGTTCCTCAGATCTTCAAGAATCTCACCTGGCTGTAATATCAGAGATGCAAATAAGTCAGCAAAAATCAGTAATTATGTCAATGAAATGCCAATTTCACTCCGATATTACTTACATTGTCTATGTTCTCAATTCCACGGAAATAAATTCCTCCAACACCAACATCAAGCCAGAAGTTCATGGCCTCCTAACAAAAGAAAGAACAATGTTTTTTAAATGAACAGCTTTTTCTGCCATATATGACTCGGTTTTCAAAAAAAAACAAGTCACAATTTTAAAACCGGGTCATTTAGTGAATGAGTGAATATATTTTCAACTAAGAAGATTCACAAACAATAAAGCTCACCTTTATTCCATCCAATATATCTGGGTCATTCACACTGTAATTAAACCAAGCACCGCTACCGAGGTAATTTGGAGTGAGATCCAAAACGATCTGCATACCTAAAGAAAATAGATGTGCAAGACAGATATGTTCATTATTCCTGCGGTTATTTCTAGATCATCTTAACACAGAGGAGCCAGCCAGTTCATGAGAAAACACAATAATCTTAATCTGGATTAAATGGGACATAAGGTATAAGGACATTATTTTTAGTGCAACTAAAGACAAAACTTGATTTTTAGTTTTGGATTGAGTGGAGAAGATCGGAACACCTGCTAGGTGTTTATTGCGGTCTGTGTCACAATTATGGAGATTCACCCCCCTCTATTTGTCCTGGTGACCGTTATCACTAAAAGTGCAAAAAAATCCCAAATTTTGGGTTGTCACCAGGAGAAGAATAGAGAGGAAAACTTCCAATGGCGACACTAGTTCTGGTGACCATGCTGACCACCAGGAATTTTCCTTTCTTTTGAAGGATTTCCTGTCACTTCCAGTTGTGACTATCGACAGGAAGTGAAGGGGTGGGGTGGGGGGGTTATAACTAGGGATGCACCGATACCGGTTTTTCGGTACTCGCCGATATCGTGCACCGGCGCTGTGTGCCCAGATTATCAGGAAGTCGGGCGGCTGTTCGTGACCCGTCGCCCAGCTTCCCGATTGCCCGTGAAGCCGATGTTCTAGCGAAAACATAGACTTCACTTGTCAAGGCTGCCTGGCTTCCTGACCAATCAGGAAGCTGGGTGGCTAGTATTTACATGCCACCCAGCTTCCTGGTTGGTTAGGAAGCCAGGCTGCCTAGCAACAAGTGAAGCTGGCTTCCTAGCCAATCAGGAAGCCAGGCAGCAGGTCAAAACCCAACTCCCGGTTTCCTGGTAGGCTAGGAAGCCGGCTTCACTTGTTACTAGGCAGCCTGGCTTCCTCACCAATCAGGAAGCCAGGAGGCAGGTCATTACGGGATGTCATTTTGTGACACAAAACTCAGAATATAGCAGGCAATAGCCCTCTATATGCTGACAGCGCAGAGCCGCTGCAGCCGGGATGGATTCTGACAATTTTGTGGGGATCCACCCTGCCACCTGATTGACAGCTCTTTAGCGGCAGAGCCAGCTGTGCCCGCCCCATCCATCCCTCCAGTCAGTGCTGGAGTAACGGAGAGAGGAGTGGGGAGTTCCTGTGGGGAGAAGTGACTGAAAGTCACAACTCTCTGCAGCGATAAGATCGGGAACTGAGTGATCAGCGGTATGCGATTCCTCAGTTCTCAATCAATAGAGCCGACATGTGACAGCCTCAGTGTCACACTTCGGCTCTAACTATTGGGATGAGTGTATTCCACTCTCCCCATTATTCGCCTTTAATTTAAGAACACAGATATTCATACGGAAAGTATACTCACTCTTTTTACGAGCTGCATCCAGCAACTTTTTAAAGTCTTCCAGTGTACCATATTTCAGGTCAATTACTTTGAGATCAGTATCTACAAAATTGTCTGCGGAAGTAATATGCAGGGGTCCAATCACCAGGCCTTTCACCTTAAGGGTGCTGAGGGAATCCAGTCGCTCTTGTATACCTAAACAGTAAAAATGCAGGGATTCAAACTTTGCTTGACTAGTTAAGATCAGATTTAGCCTTTAGCCCCTGACCCCAGCACACATCTACAAATAAACCACAGTACAGCTGAGGGGTTCAGCATTTCTGAGATACTTGAAATCTTCACACACCCTAAAGAAAAGCAAACACTGGACTAGTGTGTGACCAGCTCACACAGGGCTTGGCGAACAAATTGCCTGGGAGCTAAGTGGCGTAAAAAATTGGGATTTGAACTGTTTGGGATATATTGAGTGCTTGATTTTTTGAATACCTGTTGTCTCCCTTCCTTTTTAGACCCTTTTTTAGTATTTAAAAACTCTTTTTCCTTTTCTGTCAGTTTTTTTAAACTGTTCCCTTTTTTTTTTCCCCTCAGGTTGCAGTGCTCTTGTTAGGGGGAGGGGTTAATTGAGCTCAGGTGTCTCTCATTGAGCAGGTGTATTATAAACTAGTGCATCACTCATTTTGAGCTTGCTCACACAGGGCTTGGGAACAAAGTGCCTGGGAGCTAAGTGGCGTTAAAAAATTGGCGTTTAAACAATTGAAGTTTAACCAGGGCGGTTGTAACTTCTTCCAGGGCGGTGGTATAAATTAAATTTAGTTTAACAAACAAGTTATTGACCGTACCACTTGTGAACCATAATTTAACCCAGGTTGGTAGTATAATTCAGTATAATTTATTTATCTTAATCTAATTTAATTTAAATTATTTAATTTAACAAACAAGTTATTGAACAGGCCACTCGTGATCCACTAAACCCTAGAAAATAAAACTACAGTTAAATAATTAATCTTATATAATCCCTAATATACACTAAAAATAAAAATAAATAAATAAATAGTAAGGGTGGAATAAAATAATGTCTTCCATGAGTGGGTATGCAACCAGGTGCATGTCATGTGCAATGTATGCGTTCCTTGAACATGCGTTCGAGGGGGAATACAATTGTGCTAGATGTGAGCGAGTTGTCTGTTTGGAATCCCAGATTCTGGATCTAAGCAACAAACTGGCAACACTGAGGAGCATAAACAACATGGAAAAGAGTCTGGACTTAACGCACCAGGCTGTCGTGGAGGGGGGTCAGGCTGAGGAGGGGGGGTTGGAGCAGCGGGATCCAGAGGTGGGGAGATGGGTTACTGTTAGAAGGCGGGGGAGGGGGAAGAGTGCTAGAGAGGTCAGCCCTGATCTGATTCACCCCAATAAATTTGCCAAGTTGCAGGATATTGGGGACATCAGTTCAGGGGGGACACTGCTGGAGCACGACTCATCCTATATCCGCAGGGGGAGTGAGTGCTCCGGCGAGGACGGGAGCAGGATGGAGGGTCAGGAGAGGCAGATCCTGGTGGTGGGAGACTCCATCATCAGGCGGACTGACAGGGTAATCTGTCATCGGAACCGTGAGCGTCGAACAGTGTGCTGCCTGCCGGGGGCTCGTGTTCGACACATTGCGGAACGAATTGACAGATTACTAGATGGGGTTGGGCACGACCCCGTTGTCATGGTGCACATCGGCACCAATGACAAAATAGGAGGAAATTGGAGTGTCCTTAAACAGGAGTTCAGAGACCTAGGTGCTAGGATGAAGGAAAGGACCTCCACGGTAGTTTTCTCAGAGATACTGCCGGTGCCAAGAGCCACTCCGGACAGACAGCGCGAGTTGAGGGAGCTTAACAAGTGGCTCCGGAGCTGGTGTCAGAAGGAAGGTTTTGGTTTCCTGGAGAACTGGGCTGACTTCGCAGTCGGCTATCGGCTCTTCAGCCGAGACGGGCTGCATCTTAATGGGAAAGGTGCAGCATTCCTGGGAGGGAAAATGGTAGAAAGACTGGAGGAGCTTTTAAACTAGAAAGTGGGGGGGAGGGTATAAAAATAAAATTACTTAAACTAAACGTTGATAATTTAATCATAGATAAAAATAACACAGAAAGTAGTAAAAAAGGAGTTAATAATAGTGGGCTCACTCCAGTCAATATAGGAAATCCGTTGGCACATGTAAGTATAACTAACAACGGACGACCGAAATCAAGGCAGAATAATAACAATAAAAATAGTGGGGAACAACAAGGTAGTAAACTTTTGTCCCACAAAAAGAGAGGAATTAAATGTATGTACACCAACGCTAGAAGTCTGGCAAATAAAATAGAGGAGCTTGAAATTAGGTTAATTGAAGAGGACTTCGACATAGTGGGTATAGCGGAAACCTGGCTGGACAGCACGCATGACTGGGCTACTAATATAGAGGGGTATAACCTGTTTAGGAGGGACAGAGGTGGGAGAAGAGGGGGGGGTGTTTGCATTTACGTAAAAAATAATCTATATGTGCATATAAGGGACGATATCACGTCAAATAATGGGGAAGACGTGGAAACTCTATGGCTGGAGCTAGATATGACGGACGCTAGCCGTAAACTTCTCGTGGGTATTTGCTATAAACCTCCAAATATAGGGGAAGAGGGAGAAGTCAATCTTCACTCACAGATAGGAATAGCTGGGAGAGAGGGCAATGTAGTCGTGATGGGTGACTTCAATTACCCAGACATAAATTGGGCCAATGGAACTTCGGGTTCGGCAAAGGCGGGGCGATTTCTAAACATGTTGCGCGACAACTTCATGGACCAGATGGTGGAGACTCCTACCAGAAAAAATGCCATCTTAGATCTAATTGTCACTAATAATGCAGAGTTAATCGAGGATATTGTAATTGGGGAGTCATTGGGTAATAGTGATCACAATGTGATTACTTTTAATATTGAACACAGAAAAGGGAAGTGTACTGGAAGGACTAGAACCCTAAACTTCAGAAGGGCCAACTTTGAGAAGCTGCGCAACCTAGTGGGGGAAATAAAATGGGAAAACTTATTTCAAAACCTAAACACAGACCAGATGTGGGATTGTTTTAAAAACACAGTACATACTGCTACTTCAAAGTGTATACCTTTAGGGAGCAAAAATAAAAGATCAAAGACTAAACCAATATGGTTTAATAAAACTGTAAAACAACACGTCAAGGACAAGAGAGCGACATTTATAAAATATAAGACGGAAGGGACGGCATTGGCGTTCCTTAACTACAAAAAATGTAACAAAAAATGCAAACTAGAAATCCGGGCAGCTAAAACGGAGTGCGAAAAGCATATCGCCGCAGATAGTAAAAAGAACCCCAAAAAATTTTACCAATATATTAACAGTAAAAAGGTGAGAAAGGAGCAGATAGGCCCAATAAAGGATGGAAGCGGGAAGCTAGTCACAAACGACAAGGAGAGGGCCGAGGCGCTGAACGCTTTTTTCTCCTCAGTATACACTCGGGAGGGAAACGGGTTTGACACACATGATAAAACTCCCAGTTTAACTCAAAATATACCCCAGTGGTTGACAGAAACCGGGATACAACAAAGACTTAAAATGCTCAATGCAAACAAAGCAGTGGGTCCGGATAACCTGCACCCCAAGGTACTTAAGGAATTAAGCCAGGTTATAACTAGACCATTAATCCTCATTTTTAAGGACTCCTTAATGACTGGTAGGATCCCCAGTGATTGGCGGAGGGCTACGGTAGTCCCAATATTCAAAAAGGGGGCAAGGTGCCAACCTGGGAACTATAGGCCGGTCAGTCTAACATCGGTAGTTTGTAAAATGCTAGAGGGCATAATAAAGGATTATCTGGTAGAATTTGTTCAGGAAAACGGGATAGTTAATGACAATCAGCATGGGTTCAGGAAAGACCGTTCCTGCCTAACTAACTTGCTAACTTTTTATGAGGGGGTGAGTAGAGATATGGATGGAGGGAGGCCGGTAGATGTGGTATATCTGGATTTCTCAAAGGCTTTTGATACGGTACCACACAAACGCTTGCTACACAAGCTGAGGGCTATGGGCATAGATGAGGTGGTGTGTACGTGGATAGAGAACTGGCTACGGGAACGTGTCCAGAGGGTATCTGTAAATGGCACCTTTTCAGACTGGGCTAGTGTAATGAGCGGTGTGCCTCAGGGTTCTGTGCTGGGTCCCATATTGTTCAACTTATTTATTAATGACATCGGGGAGGGTGTTAACAGCGATATTTCCGTGTTTGCGGATGACACCAAAATAGGGAGGGTAATAGACACGGACTTAGACACTATAACATTACAGGAGGACCTGGATAAAATAGGGGAGTGGGCATTAATGTGGCAGATGAGGTTTAATGTCGATAAATGCAAAGTAATGCACTTTGGAATTAAAAATAAACAAATGGGTTATACAATTATGGGTATGCCGCTGGGGAAGTCAGAAATGGAGAAGGATTTGGGGGTCATTGTAGACCACAAACTGAAAGGTAGTTTGCAGTGCCAGGCTGCTGTAAACAAAGCTAGCAGGGTCTTGTCCTGTATTAAAAAGGGGATGTATTGCAGGGACAAGTCTATAATTTTGCCACTTTATAGATCATTGGTTCGACCTCATCTGGAGTACGCGGTCCAGTTCTGGTCACCAGTACTAAGAAAAGATGTCCTTGAGTTGGAAAAAGTCCAGCGAAGGGCAACCAAACTAATTAGGGGTATGGAGGACCAGAGCTACGAGACGAGGCTACTAAATTTAAACATGTTCACATTAGAGGTGAGGAGATTAAGGGGGGATATGATTTCCATGTACAAAATGTTTAATGGTGGTAGCAACATTAGCGATAAACTGTTTAAAATTAACTCCGTTACAAAAACTAGAGGCCATCACCTAAAATTGGTGGAAAAAAAATTCCAGCACAAGGGGCGAAGGGGGTTCTTCACAGTAAGATCAGTTAGGGTCTGGAACTCACTGCCACAGGCGGTGATTTCAGCAAATAATGTGGAATTGTTCAAGAAACTTTTGGACGATTTCTTAAGGGACCGTAATATACAGGGGTACAGGTACTCCTAGAATGAGATCCTAATAGGTTGGACTTGATGGACTAATGTCTTTATTCAACCTCAAATACTATGTAACTATGTAACTGATTGCCACTTCTCTCCAGTTACTGGTCTGCCTTAGGATCTATTAAAGTTATCAACAGAAAGATCAACCTAAAAGCCTTTGGCCTTAAAATGTTTGAAGTTACTGCAGGTAGCTAGTGGAGTCAAAAGCCGGAACTCCTAATCATAATTGTTCTAGGTTAGTGACTCTAAAAAAATACTAAAGCTATTGGATCAATATAACAGCCAGGCACCTGATATTTTCAAACGGCAGCTATAGTTTTAATGTAGCACAATAGTAGTAAGCATTTTATAATAAATATACTATCTAGGACACATGTCAAACTCAAGGCCCAGGGGCCAAATCCAGCCCATCAGGCCATTTCCTAGACTTCTACTTTCAGATCTAGGTATTAAGTTATTACTAAAACCAGTGATAATCGAATGCAGATTAGATACATTTATATAGTCTTGCAGATACCTTTGAGGGCAACCATAATGTTGATGTGGCCCACAATTAAATGGAGTTTGACACCCCTGGTCTAGGACAATCAGAGGTGTTGTAATTTGTATACACTATGAGACATTTAATATTGTTCCAGTCTAAAAAGCCATGCTTAGATGTTAGCATAAGTAATAGCCGATCAGCACAAACAATATATACAGTGACTGAACTTTATATTTCCTGTAAATGTAAATCACTAAAACAATGGAGCGTTTGGCTATAATTCCATTTCCATGGACTTATAAGCACAATACAAAGAAGCTGATGCAATAGATTTCTATACCAGCTCAGGCCTGTACAGAAGAACTTCCTGTATGATGCCGGGTCTTCTGATGCAATCCTATGCTGCCGTGTCATACATACATCAGCAGGCTAGTAGCACGAGGTTAAGAACCTTGTACAAACGAATAGGTATTTTGAACTGGGGACTGAATATAAATAATGCAGTGATAATCAAGCACATGGACTAAAGGGGTCACAGACATTAGAAAAATGCTAGATATCACTTTATATTTTTTATGCTCACCAGCAATATCACCAACTCCATCGGCATTTGAATCTTGGAAGGTCTCGGGATCTCCTAGCTGATAAAGTGGTCCCTTGTTCCACCACTCCATTACAGGTAAAGGACGGCAGCGAGGGGCTTGGACAATGATAACCACTGCCCCAGCCAGCATTCCCAACCAGCCTAGCCAGAACAGGATCAGGAGAGCCCAGCGGACTTTCACCCACCCTGGGGTGCCGGCCACTTTCAGAAGCTCGTCTTTGGACAGGCCAGTAAACTTCTGGGCCCTGTTGCTGTAATCATCTTCATCCTCCAGCTTAACTTTAACAACACCATTTTTTTCATTGCCTCCTCCAACTGGAGGGTCCTCGGCCCCTGCGGCCATAGGTTGCTTCTCTGGGTCAATCTCGTTCAGCTCCACATCCTTCATATCTAGGGCTGTATCTTGTGTCATGTCTAATGTGGCTGAGTAAGCAAACGAAGCAGAAAAATAAAAAGAATTTAACATAAGTATATACCACACATCAGCAATACAATAGTATGAATAATATGAATATGCTATATAACATATAGACACACAGTAATATTATAGAGAATGTAGATATATGTCCAACTATGGGCTCTGTAAGATTCTGTAAGAGCAGGCTATAGTATTTATCTGACTAAAACAAACACAATTCAAGCTGTCTCACCGGCTCCTGCTATGTTCTCAGGCAGCTGTCAGGTTGAGCCTGTTTTCTTGGCTGACTGCCCCTTAAATAGATCCTCTGTCCCTCCCTCTTACTGCAGGCACAGCCTCTTTCTTCTCTTAAGGGGGAACTGCAATGGTTGCTCTCCTGCAAAAAGAACAGCAGACCATATGTACAGGATGGATGTTATGGAGCGATTTAAACCACAAGCCACTAGAAATAATATTCATTACAGTCAGCAATCCTCTTTATGTTTGCTCATTCAGATGCATTGTCATACATTTCTCGGCATGTTTTAGGCAGGAGAAAATGCAGTCTTTCTTATGGGGCCCATTTGCACCCCTGCATTACACTGCAACATGCTGATAAAAGGTCCCGCATGCTGCGTTTTTGGCACATCAACCTGCATTTTGTTGTTTCAGTCATTTCACAGGTGAATCAATTACAAAATGTCAAACAATGCATCTGAAATCCAATATCAAAGCTGTACCGGTGTGAAAGAGACACCCATACGGCCCGTTCAGATTCAACTCTGGTGCATTGCGTTAACGCACATCTACATGAGCCTGGAAGCAGAACTCCAGGCAAAGATCTTTTAGTAATTTCTATGTAAAAATAATTACCTCTGCGGAGTTGTGTGCCATATTCAGTATCTCTGCTCTTTTCTTTAAAATTAATACTTTCATTCATGACAGATAGTACAGCTTACATTGTAGATAAGAGAGCCTTTGGCTCTCATACACAGAAGGGCTAATATTGTTTATATGTTTATTGTTTATATCTCCTCTCCCCTTGGTTATTAACAGTAGTCTTGTATTCTGTAAACCAGTGGCAACTACAAATCTCATCATGCATCTGTCTCTGGAAGCCATGCCTGGGAGAATCTTGCAATGCCTCATGGGATTTTTAGTTCCACAACAGCTGAAGGGCCGGAGTTTACTCACCCCTGCTGTAAACCATCCACAGAATACAAGGCATTTTGTGAATGGCCGTGGGGAGACTGAGGACATCTCCTGGTGAAGCAGGGGTACTGCTGGAACAGCATTGTAGAGAAGGTAAGTATTGGAGGCAGAGTTGCATTTTTATTTGAAGCACTGGCTGAGGCTCATTCACGAGGCCACTCTGGGCTGTACACATCTGAACGTTCACATGCAATATGGGACAGTTTGCATCCAGGGCTCTTCATCCCTAACCGCATATAACCATATAACCACTCGGATGTGTGGATACATGTGAGCAGCCATAGTGCCTGTCATTGATTAGTACAGGCTGCTGACCGCACACAATTGTGCATACGCACAACAGAGAAACGCTGATTTTTGCCACTGTATGACCCAAACTGGCCGTCTAAATGTACCCTAAGTATTATTATTATTACATAGTATTTATATAGCGCCAACAGTTTGCCCAGCGCTTTACAATATAAGGAAGACATTACAATTACAATACAATTCAAGACAAGATGGTAAGGAGGAGGGCCCTGCCCGTGAGGGTTACAATCTAAAAGGGAGGGGGAAGTGATACATTAAGGGGGTAGCTGTGTGGGGATGAATTGTTTGAGAAAGTGATTGTTCAGTGGTCAGGTTGAGGAGGGATAGGCTTACATGAAGAGATGAGTCTTTAGGGATCGCCTATTATTATTATTATTATTGTTTTTTGTTTTTTTTACAGTAGTTACATAGTAGATAAAAAAAGACTCAGGTCCATCAAGTTCAGCTTCTGTGTGTGAGTGCAAAAAAGTAGTTTTTTTAAATTTTATTTAAAAACATTTAAATTCGGGCTGTGGAAATTAACGATTAATTCCTCGATTAATAGTACATTTTTTTGATCTATCAAAATTCTTTTGATCGGTACTCACCTCTCCGTCCGGCTTCCGGGTCTTCCGTCGGAGATCCGGTGATGTCACGGACATCGCCGTCACCGGACTCCTCCCCCCTTCCCCAAGTGGCTCCGTCGGCTAATGAAGGGAAGGGGGGAGGAGTCCGGTGACGTCGATGTCCGTGACGTCACCGGTGAAGGGGTGGTGTGGACAGGGAAGGAACCAGCCAACATTCGAGCAGTGTATGGCCATCTTAAGGGGTAAGGAATTAAGAGCAGTCTGCCTCCACACCATATGACCAGTCCCATGGAGTAGCTAATCTTTGCAGCTTAAGCAATCAGGGGCTCCCCAATATCATCGTGTATCACCTACCTCTGCCCTGCATTGTTCATGGAGCCCAACTATGCCCATATATCAGGAGCATCAAATAACGCAGGAGATTTCAGGGGGAAAGGAGCCAAAGCCTTTTTAATTTTTACAGCTGACTGGATTTCAGCTTTAAGAGGAAAGAGGGACAGTGGGATGAAAAAGAGGGACTGTCCCTTCAGATACGACAGTTGAAATAAGGGATGCACCAATACCACTTTTTTACGACCGAGTACGAGTACCGATACTTTTGATCAAGTATTCGCCGATACCAATTACCGATACTTTTCCATAAAGGGACAGGTCACATTTTTTCTAAAGCAATACAAACTAATGATTTAAGGTCAGTTTCCTAATATTATGATTCATGAGATGACGAGGGAGCATGACGCCACCTTTCCGTTACACAATGCCCGGCTTCCGGATTTTCTAGCTTCCTGACCAATCGGGAAGCCAGGCAGAGAGTCATTACACACTACCCGGCTTCCTGATTGGCCCGGGAAATCGGCTCCATGCTCTCTCATCACAAGTGATGAGAGAGCATGGAGCCGATTTCCCGGGCCAATCAGGAAGCCGGGTAGTGTGTAATGACTCTCTGCCTGGCTTCCCGATTGGTCAGGAAGCTAGAAAATCCGGAAGCCGGGCATCGTGTAACGGAAAGGTGGCGCAGCCTGGCTTCCTGATACAGGAAGTACTCGTTCTAGCATCTGTATGTGCATTATAATTAATTGAAATTAATCGATTAATAGATTTTTTAAAAATTCGATTAATCGGACACAAAAATTTTAATCAGTAACAGCCCTAAGTTAAAAACACTTTCTTTGATAACTACATAACTTGCTAAGCTTTTAACAAGAACAAAAAGCCTAATTTGCCCTAAAAAAATGATATATGTATTACTTTGGTGCCATGCACTGTACACTGTAATGTTTGCCAGTCTCTATCATAGCAGCTTAAGGCCCCATTCACACCAGGGCGTTTAGTCGTGCGTTTTTTCCATGCTGAAACGCATTGAATATATAATCACATGTATTCCCATGGGGGCCGTTCACACAAACATGCTGAATCATGCAGAAAAATAGGCCTGGTGTTTTGAAATAGTCTGATAAGCCTCTTTTATGGCTCTTATCAGCCCGTTATGCTCCATAGACTTCAATGTAAAGGCGCCGATCAGCGCATTTTTGCGCATTTGTGATTGTTCTTTTAGCTCGTTTTTGCAGCTGAGACTGCTTTTCATTGGACAACTTAAAGGAGAACTATGAGATGAGTGATTTCCACTCACCTCATAGTTCTAGCCGACCTGTGACAATGAGACTGTCACAGGTCGGCTCAGTAGATCGGGAGGTGAGCGAACACATACCAGGTTCGCTCACCTCTCGATCCTGTCACGGCTCTCTGCCGTGACAGGGGGAGGGCTGGATTCCCCTCTCCCTGCTCCGATCTGCCAGCGCTGACTGGCGTAACGGACGGGGGAGGGGGCGGGTACAGCTGGCTCTGCCTCTAGATAGGCAGAGCCAGCTGTCACTCACGCAGCTGGGCGGATCCCGTCATCTACGTCGGGATCCGCTCCGGCTGCGGCGTCTCAGTATACCGCGAGCTGTAGCTTGCGGTATACTGAGCTTAGGGTGAGGGGAGGATGCTAGTTTGTGTCCTCCCGTTACCCTAAGGAGAACTATGGGGAAAAACACTAACCCCATAGTTCTCCTTTAAAACGAGCTGAAAACGCGACTTAAAACACTATTGCTTATGAACAGAAAACTCCTGTAAAACATGCAGAAACGCGCATAAAAAATGCGCAAAACCGTGCCCTGGTGTGAATGGGGTCTTAGGCCTTGTTCACACCGAAAGCGTGTGCGTTCCAGAGCGGTAGCTGGAACGCATTGTGGGCGGTACCATTGAATACAATGCACCGTCACGCCCCCTCCTGCCCCAAACCGCGGGGAGAAGTTTCACATTGATCGCGGTGCGTTCCAGCAGCTACCGCTCTGGAACGCACACACTTTCGGTGTGAACAAGCCCTATATGGCGTATTTTGGTTTTGTGCTGCCCTCGGCAAGACTAAACTCGGCAGCCCCCCCACAATCTAAATTTGCCCCACCCCTTCCTGTTTAAGACATTTTGTGTAACCTGTCAGTCGCTAGATACAGCGCACACGCTGTATCCAGCTTCTGACAGGTTGCGCTTTTAGCGTAGCGGGGAAGCCCACTGTGCATTTTGCTTATCCTGCCAGAAGCGGGATACAGTGAGCGCCTGTGTAAATAGTAACAGGCGTGTACTGTATCACTTCTGCCAGCGTCAGAGAGAGGAGGCTGAGCTCGTCAGTGGATTCGGGGAAGGATCATTTTTTTCTCTTTATGGCAAGTGAGGCTCTCCTTCACTGGTTTGGAAAGTGCCGCCCAAAACAAATGCCTAGTTTGCCTTGTGGTAGATAGTAGTTTTGTTTCCATTCATCCCCGCAGACTGTGTATGAAGTCTCTGAGACTTAGGGCCTGTTCACACCATATGCAGTTGTGATGCAGTCCGTTTATTTTGACTGCTGCAGTACAAAAACATTACAATGCTTTCCTATAGGGCTGCAACAACTAATCGACATAATCGATGATTGAAAAAGTTGTTAACTTTTTCAATCATCGATTAATCGGCTTCTGGTTGGTTGGCCCTGTTCACGGCTCCACACGTGCTGCGCGCCGCACCTCCTCCCCACCTCACGCTCGCCGCTGCCAGACCTGCCCGCATTCACACTCCACACGCCGCACCGCCCGCCCACATCCACGATCGGCACAGGGACGCGGGGAGAAGAAGTAAGTAGGAGCAGACGTGGGGGGATGACAGCCGCCGACAGACAGGCCCGATCTCAGAAGCAAGTTGCTGGAAGACTGCTCAGGTAAGCCTGCACTTCCCTCCCCCCCACATGGTGCTCTAT